CAAGTAAGTTTCTCCTTGTATGTCCCTGGATCATATCAAGTTCCTGCACCAACACTGGAGCTCAGGGAGAGGGATCCAAGTAAGTTCATGTGTGGGATCTTTCAGAGGAACTGCCTGGGACTCCAGCAGCTCCATGTCACTCAGCCTCAATTCCCACTGGTTTTTATAGCCTGAAGGTATGGGGACTTCTCTTCAAGGCTCTAAAACCATGTACTGGGGGCCTGGTGTGTGGCTGGGACTCATGCTCAACACAGGAAGTTTCTTCAGCCAAGATAACACTCCCAATTAAAAACACACAACTCGTGGGTATCAAACTAGCCCATTCCATTCTTCCACTCCTCTACCAGTCTCAATGTGCTTTCTTCTTTAACTCTCTAGTTGTAGGACTTCCATTCAGAAAGATATCAGGAGATTCTGAATGATGCTTATTCCGTATCTTAGTTGTAATTTTGATGTGGTGCAGTACCAGTGTTTACTCCATCTTGGTTCCTGAATTCTTCCAACACAGAAAGAATCTTATAGACTGTAAGAGAGACAGAAAGTTACCTACCAAGGGAGCTCCCAGTATACTGTGAGCAGATTTCTCAGTAGAAATACTTCAGCTCAGAGAGGGTGGCATAAAGTATACAGAGGAATAAATCCAAGACTACTAAATCCAGTAAGGCTATCACTCAATGTTGAAGGTGAAATTAGAAGCTTTGCAGTAAACACACACACACACACACACACACACACAACACTAAAAGTATTAGTTACCACCAAAACAGCAATGCAAGATATGCTAAAGGGAGTGTTGTAACAAGAAGAAATGGAGAGAGAGGGAGGAACACAGACATAAAGAATAACAATTGCAACAAATATGTACCTATCAATAATAACCTTAAATGCAAATGTCTTAAATGCTCCAATCTGAAGACTTAGGCTAGCTAAATGGAAAAGATGAAAAGGTGCTCAGCAAAATATCAGACATCTCACCTAGAAAAGTTTTTATTGATACAATGCCTAAGGCAGGGGTGGGGAACATGTGGCTCACGGGCAGTATAAGGCTTGTGAAATCATTTGGTCTGGCCCTACCAAGGCAACCACTGGAAGGATTCAAAATTCAATAAATCTAGGAGCTTTTTCATAGCAACATAAATTTATTATAAGTGAATTATATTAAGCGAATGATGTTATATATATCCAAGTGTCCCTTGGCAGAATAAAGGTTACCCAAATCTGGCTTAGGGCAGAGAAACAAAGGAAAAAATAAACAAATGGTATTACATTGAATAAAAGATCTGCACTACAGCAGGTGAGTGGATTAAAGAACTATGGTACATCTACACAATGGAATACTATGCTGTTACAAAAAAAGAAGGAATTCTTACCATTGGCAGCAGCATGGATGGAACTGGAGAACATTATGCTAAGTGAAATAATCCAGGCAGTGAAAGAAAAATACCACATGATCTCACTCATCGATTTAAAGGCACAAGACACTGGGGGTCAGGGAGGTAAGGGCACGTGCCGGGGGGTAGGGGAGGTCAATGGGGAAAAACAGAGACATATGTCCCACTATTTGTAATATTTTAAACAAGAAAATAAAATTTTAAAAAAAGGAGAAAATTAAGGAAGAAGCAGAACAGAAACAAACTCATACATACAGAGAATATTTTCATGGTTGCCAGGTGGGAGGAGGATGGGGAACTTTAGTAAAAAAATGGTGAAGGGAATAAGAAGTACAATTGGTAGTAACAGAACAGTTATGGAAATGTGAAGTACAGCAGGGTGATTACAGTTAATAATATTCTAACAACTATGCAGGTATTTTATTAGATTAGTCTGTGATTCATTGGGATAACAACTTAGTAAGTTATATAAGGTCTATTCACTAGGTGTACTCCTAACAACAATATATGATATTGTATGTCAACTGTAATTGAAAAATAAAAAAGAATATTTTAAAAAATAATAAAATAAAAAATTGAAAAGAAAGTCTATATATTAATATTTATATCAAGTCAATAAGTATAAATAGGGACTCCTTCTCAAACATGATATATGTTCACCTTTCCAATAAGTCCATTTGTTTTATATATTTACTAGTAGCCCGGTGCACGAAATTCGTGCACTGGGGTAG